TTCTGGTGTTGCTGCACATCGCAGCATAGTGTGACTACAAGTTGCACTCATTGGACTTCTCCGCTGCCTTTCTCCAGGGTAGTCTTCACGAGCAAATCTGACTGCACTTGCACGGCGCCCTTCACTATCCTTGTCTATGTCGACGACCTAGTCTTTGCCACTCGGGACAGAGATGCACTGGCCTCAGTGAAGGAGCCACACTTGCATTGACCTTGGTGAGCTGCATTGCTACCTTGTACTATAGATCACTAGGGACAGAGCAACTCGCACCATCAAACTGACTAAGTTACACATGTTGCAGCTGATTCACGAGAGGTTCCGCTTTCATTTCTCCACTGTGTGAAGAGGTAAAGTCGAGAGTAAATCATTGAAATGTTATCCCCTCTAGGAGTTCAACCCTAGTCTAGCCTATAACCCTAAGCAAACATATAATTTGACACTCTGCACAATCGACCATGGGCTTGGGGCCTCCTGTCCCTGACAAGCCTGTTGAGCCTAGTGGTCAGTACGTGGAGCTGGTGGGGTGCATCTTGTATCTGATGACTTGCTCTCATCCAGATCTCGCGTTTCCTCGTAGCATCCTTCCCCAATTCTTACGACTAGGAGACACCGACCTGCCCATTAGTCGGCCGTTAATAGGGTACTGTGCTATTTGGCCAGTACATCAAGCATGGAGCTCGTGCTTGGAGGACGTCAGCTAGTGGTACTCACGGCACAGACTGACGCGTCATGGCCAGAGACGACCCCGAGATTCTCAAGCCTTCCAAGGGCCACTGCTTCAGCATTGGCTCTAGGGGCGTTTTTTGGAGGTCCACTCGCTCATCCGTTGCTAAGGTAGAGATCTACGCAAGTGCTATGGCTATGCAGGAGCTTCGCTGGCTGATCTTCTTGCTCACTCACTTAAGTGAGCCGCCTCGCTCTGTACTAGTCATGTTTGTTGACAATAGGGCCACGATCCTCCAATGTTGGGAGCCTAGGCTGGAGGGCAAGGCAAAGCATATCCCGCTCACATGAAGGCATCTGTCATAACTGACGCGCCATCAGTGATGATTCTTGTGACCTTGCAAATGCCAATCCTAAGTGTGTCAAGATGTCCAAGAAGAACAGCAACAAGGGAACTTGCATCACATTGGTCTATGTTAGTAGCATTGACATGCATTTCAGGAACGTGACAAAGACGATCATGTACTTTCCATGCACCCAGTAAGTGCTCTTGTCGCGATTAAGACCAAAGAACAGCAACGCATGAAGGTGCAGTAGTTTTTGTGCAGGCAAGTACGTGTTGATAGCCCACACCATCTCCGTAAAAACATGCCTGCGTATTGGAAAACCATGGATTAGCGTCCATAATCAAGCACAAAGATACACTTCTCTACGTCATCATTGTCAGTGAAAAGCGACACGACTTACTGTGCAACGTAGACTCTATACGACTGACGCTGAATGCCGGCCACTCCTTCGCCACTAGGAAACTTACTAGCCGCATGTACATGCTAATGGGAGAGTCGGTACAAGCTCAGCCTACGGGAGGTGGCGTCCGATAGCAAGGCACGAAGCAGTGCTGCGCACCGCACATTGCGTGTGTTCCAGTCAAGCCGCGCGGTACTTTTCTTTCTGCTTCAGCGTAGCGTCAACAACAAGAGTAGGAGGTCGCGGAGCATGGTCGTTCATGGAGACGACATGTTGAAGCTTTTCCACAGGTAGCGCTTGAATTTGAGCAGCCATGAAGCAAAGCTGATCACACGCCCCTCTGCATCAAAACGCAAGACTAGCTCGGTCGACATAGCCGTAGGGAGCAGGGGCACAACTGTGGCAAGTGATAGGAAATGGCCACATGAGGAGGAGACCGATAGTAGAGCGTGTACTAAGGACATTGGCGCGAGCTGCAGGTGCAAGTAGTAGCGGCACGGGCGCGGTCACGCGTGGGTGGCAGTGGTGTGGGCGTGATGCAGGGCAAGGTGACGTGCAGGCGGCATGCAACAAGGGTGTTGGCACAGACAGGCATGCACGGGTAGCAGCGCCGGTTATTGTTGCTCGCAAGGGCGGGCCCACGCTGGCACGGCTAGGCCTGGCTGGCGCACGGGCGGCATGGCAGGCACAGCGCATGCATCGTGCGGGTAGTGCACGGGTGACACGTGGGCATCGGCGGGCAGAGCTTGGGCAGCGTGGCGGGCAGCACATTGGGCAGCACGCGGGCAGCGCGTGGAGGGCGTGCAGTCAGCGTGAAGTACGAGGCAGAGCTAGGGCGCGACACTGGCTGGTGCTAGGGCGCAGGCTCTGGCGGCGCTCGAGCGAGGTTGCCCACGGTGCTAGGGTGGAGGCGAGGCGGCATTAGGGCGCTCCAAGGGCACTCTAGGAGGCGCGCTAGGGGGTGCTCCAGGGGTGCTCTAGGGGGTGCGCTGAGGGCGAGGCTAGTGCTAGATAGGGTAGGTGAGGCGAAAGCAATGGCATAACTTGTCAACAAAGAAAAGAATGACCAAAATGAGGGCATAGAGCTGGATATGTGCCAAACTTTTTACCCTCTATTGGGTAACCCAGCCTAGAATACAATTTGCACATGTAAAAGAGTATGTGTATATTGATATTCGTTTTATAAATTTCGCGTCAACTGGAAGGGAACAATTCCCTGCCATCGCGTGCGTCACATTGATGGAAAATCTCTACTTTCTTAAGCATGTTTGACCTTGGTCTTTCTTGCAGGCTTCCCATAATCTAGACAGGTTACGGGCACCTCTGTGAACAAAGCAAAGGTTGTTACAATACATTTGACAGATAAGTTCGTGGAATTTCTATATGTGCTGATAAGAAAACTAGCTCACTTTAACTTGCACTTACAATCAGCAAGCACATACAAGCTCATTAATTATAAGGGCGCGTGTGATCTATTTTCAAGTTCGGAAAAAAGGTCGAACTTTGAGTGGTTACCAGCTTCGTCAATGTCGTCAAGAAGCTTTGGCGAAGGCATGAGAATTTTGGGGGCACGTAAGTGCAAATGTCAAATGTGAACTCAACTCGAATCACACGGATGAACGTGAGGGTGCACGTGAGGCGATTGTGTGTTGTTTTCAGCACGTATGAAAGCCATGCAAAAAGCATGACTGCTTTGCGAAGGTCGCGGAGTTTCCTTGCGCATTACAATGACGTGTCGCGCTGTACCAGGTAACCTACACTCCCTACGGGCGGCTCGCCGCCTTCTCTAAAAGGTCGAATCTCTGTGTTCAACCTTGGGTGTGTGATTGTGACTCGTATGTGTTGGAGACCCAAGATTCGAACTTCGCTGCAAAGAAAGTCGAGTTTTGTTCAAATGCAGCATTCGACCTAAAAACATAAACTTTCACAAATTTGTAAGACCACACGCGCCCTAATATAAGCGCATGCGTCAATAGACAAGGGGTGCTTCTATTCGGGGGGGACAAGGTACGTTTTATATAGTTAACTCTTTGGAAGAATAAACACCCACACACACACACACACACATACACACACACATACACATACACACACACACACACACACAAATATACATATATATACATACATGTGCAGAGCCTGGGAGGGTATGGGCGCACTCACCTGCCATTTAACAATCTCATTTAGTGGTCTAGTGGCTAGGATTGAGACATGGTATGATGAGCAAAAGGTCTCTAGTTTTATTCCCCTTGTGCGCACATGCTGGCGTCCATGTCGATGTTGTTGTGCCATGTCCTACAGCATCCCTGTGAGGGGGGGTGTCAGAAAACCTGCACTAGGATACAAGATTGATCCTTGGGAAAGGCTACAGCTCAGAGCTTGGGGGTTATTAGCACACTCACCCGCTATCGTCTATTCCCGGATATATGACCCTCAGAAAGGCAAGTCCTTCGGGACTTATATGTGGGGGTGGGGGGAAGGGGGGGGAGGGTACGCTAATTGAAGACCAATCTGTGAGGACCCCCCTTTTCCTCATAGCAATTATAAGACCCCCCTTTGGCTAGAATGATTGGTTAGAATGTATTTTTTCTGATACAATCTAGCAAGAACTAGGAGTTTATTTTTGTACAAAAAGTCGGGTTCTCAAAGTGCAATAGGGTACCTACACAGGATGCTACTGTACATTAAGTCTTGTGGTACCTAGTACCATGCTTCTAACTCCTCTCATGTGGTGACTGCATGTGCACATTACAGTCCTAACTACTCTACTCATCATCCCACTCCTCGTAGTCAGTGGGGTTATCGGGGTCATGGTTGATCTCATCAGCCTCTGAGTCCTTGCCTTCTTCATCAACATCATCAGCATCCATAGTTTCGGCTAGTGGGCTGCATAGAGTGGGTTGACACATTCTTCCATCTTTGGAGCCGCATTAACGTCGGCTGCCATCTCAATCTCTGCCGCATCACGCGTGTGGGCGAGGATGAGGTGGTCCTTGCGGCCGACAGGGCTGTTGGTGATGCCACACGTCTTGAAGGGCCTCACAATGAGGTCCTCCGGCACCGCCGCCCAAGACTCCACAATGAGTTCTTGGGGGAACAGGGTTTGCAGGAAGAGTGAGAAGCAATGATGAGTGGTTGCATCAAAGTAGAACAAGCACTCACGTGGACGCACAATGAATCCATCATGAGCTGTACCTTTCGGTGTGAGGGAACTAATTCTCTCTGTTGCAAACCACTCATTGTATCGTTTACGCATGCAGGTTTTGAAGCTCCAGTTGACGCTCACATCAAGGGGCTGCACCAACGGTGGGCAGCCACCAGGGATGATGGTAGGCTTCACGCTATTCCAGCGCAGCAACCCCAGCACAACGTCGATTAAAAAAACCCAGTATGAGTCAAGCACGCGTGGCGAGCGTCTCTTGTTGATACCTATATGGGAGCAGAACGTGCTACACCTAGTCCTGCACAAGAGTGGCGTCCATCCACCCACAGGGTTGTGCATGGACTAGGTTGCCTGCACACGCGTACAACTACAAGGCGTTAGGCACTCTCAAACAGGAAACACGGCTTGAATGCGCAACGAGACTTACCGTCTGGAATCAGTATGTGGGGTATTGTCTTGCGCTTCAAAATCACCATCGACTTCAGCTTCGAGCCCGTGCCCGACACCCCAAGCATCACGATAAGTCGCTCCTCGTATCCCGCGTTGTGTATGTGGACCGTCTTCTCGCTTTGGTGGTGCAATGTCCTTTCTTGCAGCATCTCCAGGAACACAGCAGTTTGATCCGCATTGACAATGTTCCACGGATCAATCCGTGTTGTGTCACCTGCTTCCGGACAGACGCCCAGAAGCTCTCGCATTTTCCCTTGCACATACAACACGAGCGAGTATTCGGAGGGTGTCTTGTCAACATGTTACAGTATCAGCAATTGTGGCTTACCTTTTGCAAGCCGCTGCCTGACTTTGATCTTCGCAAGCATCGTAAGGCCCCACCAACCACGGAAATGCATGCACTAGAGAACCAATGCACACCAATCTACGTCAGGGTGGTGTTGCTTCATCTAAGTTGAGCTCCGCATCTGGAGGGGGCGATTGGGCATGGCAAGGCCGCAAGATCTGTAAGACATAAAGTTGCAGTGTACCTAAGCTCCATGGCATGGAACTTCGCATACCTCTCGCCGCCGATGAGCCTCTTGCGACATCTGATCGATGTCTTCATCTGCTCGCACTTGATCCAACGGCGGACGCTAATCGTTTGGACGTCGGCGAGGCGAGCGGTTGCACGCACTGTGAGCTGTTTGCTTTGCATCCGGGCCAAATATCCGATCTTCTCATCCTCACTTTCCGTTTGTGCTTCAAAACACGATGGCGGGGCGACGGCGGGCGTGTTTCATGATTTCATGTGGGGCTTTCGTCGTCATAAACGAGGTCATCGGAGAAGCTGGGAAGAGGGTATTCAGGACGAACGTTAGACTTTGAAGGCGTTAGCAGAGATTCGCCTCCAATATCCTCATCGTCGACAAGCTCAAAAAAAGCACCTAAAGGCGGAATTGGGTCAGGGGGCGCGGGAGGCGTTGGAGGAGCCGGAGGTGCTGGCGGTGCTAGTGGCGCTGGTGGCGCGGGCGGAGCTGGCGGTGCTATTATGACAGGGATCGCTCGGAGTGCAGTGTTTGGTCGCGATGATTGTGGCCTAACGCCACCGCCGCGTGCCCGCATGAGGATGTTGAAGGTCGACATGGTGGTCAGTGCTTGCGGGATTAACAAATCCCATCGAGTCCCTGCTGGTTTTAAGAACGGGAAACCGAAGTGTAAAATGATTAGCAGAACAGGAGACTACCCCCTGTGACTCCTGGCTGATGAGGGACATGGAGGAGAAGGTCAACACGACCCTACACCCAGAGGCATTTCTCGTGCCGTTGGCGGGTAGAGGGCCGTGACTGTGGGAGGTCACTGCATCGTGCTGGCAGCCAATAAGGCAGCACACCTCGAAAGCTCGTGCAAGATGTGTACAACTAGGCATCGTGTCAGTAGATTTCACCCATTCTCAACGTAAGAGCTCGCTTTTGATGAATATAAGACCCCATCCCAGTCATTAAAATTGGCACAGTAAAGTACTGTAGATCATTATATTAGAGTTCAGGAGTCTTATCTACTCCAGCCACCATGATGTTCACCCTAGCATTATTAGTGAATGTTTGGCAAGTCCCTTGGGTCTTGGAGCGTGTTACATATTTTGGGGCCTGGTCGCGGTTGCCTCAAACGGTCGGGTTGAGTTGAACGTAGGGTTACCAGATTACCCGAGAGTGTATAGTGTACAGTAGAGGATGTGTGTATCAAGGCCCTCACACACTTGGTCGAGGCGACCAGGCAGTCAACCAACCAATTGGTCGCGACCACATACAACCAGGTCGAAGCAACCAACCTGCAACGTACCAACCTGGTGCGCAACCGGGGGTTAACGAAAACATTGCGACCAGGCTGCACTAACAAGACTCGTGACTGGTGCAAGAAACTTTTCCATCGAAGGTTAGCCAGTAATATTGACGCGTTGACTGTTGGGTCTACCCGAAATACTATTTGCATGGTTGGGTCTCAAGAGTTAGGTGCAACGGAATGTCGAGGTTAGCATCGAGAGGGATACAAAAGTGAGCAACTTAAAAAAGTTGTACTCTCTAAGGAGTACCTCACTGCAGCCTACCATAATAATAACATTTGACACACCCCCATAGGCTAAGTGAGGGGCACCCAACAACTAGCAAGTAAAACAGCGGTCACACGACCAGTCAAGCAAAACAAGGCTCAGGGTGGTGCTCAAAGTCACCACACACTCTGAGCACAAACAAGTGGCCGCAAGGCTAGTTCAAGAGTTCACTAGGATATATAATAGCAAAGCACAACAAGCAGAGGAAGCAACAAGTCTACAGCAACCTAGGACCTGCCTCAACAAGCCCTAACTGCACACAGAACCGGTGGTGATCACCAGGCGCCAAGGCCTTGGTGAAGTGGTCAGCAGTGTTGGCCTCTGAGGCCACAAAGTCCAGCCGCACCTGGCCGCGTCGCTGTAGCTCACGCAGGAGGAAGTACCGGACGTCGATGAGCTTCACCCTGGTCTCCAGACGCCGCTCGCGACTGAAGAGAATCATGGCCTTGTTGTCAGCGAACAAGGTCGGAGCAGTGAGAGGCCGCTCACCAAGGTCAGCAAGCAAGAAGGTCAACCAGCGAAGCTCCTGAGCAACCATAGCACTGGCGTAGATCTCTGCCTCTGCAGTGGACAAAGCCACCGACGACGACCGTGTGGACCTCTACGACACAGCCCCAGCTCCCAGACTGAAACAGTAACCCTGGGTCGAGCGCTGAGTCTCCACGTCGTCAGCGTAAGAAGAGTCACAGAGGCCAGTCAGCTCAACTAGCCGAGTCCCTCCAAGCACAAGCCCCATGCATGATGTAGTCGCCGGGTACTTCGCCACCCTCACGTCAGCCGTCCAATGAACAAGACGGTGCCTCCCAGGTCCAACAAAGCGAGAGAGGACACTAAGAGGGTAGGCGAGGTCCGGGCGAGTACAGGTCTTCAGGTTCATGAGGCAGCCAACAAGCTCTGGGTAGGGACCACTAGGCTCAAAGGGCTCGTCGGGGAAGGAGCCGGTGAGTCTGTGGTCTACAACAAGAGGACTAGGCTATGTGGTAGAGAACTAAAACCCAAACCACTGAAGAACCTACTGCACCATGTGTGACTGCGTGAACGTGATGGTGCGAGCGGCTTTGTCCCTGGTGATCTGCAGGCCAAGGTAGCGCTGTAGTTCACCAAGGTCAGTGCACGTGTGTCTCTTCTGCAGTTCGGACTTTACCTCAGCCAGAGCTGCCCTGTCTGGTGTAGCAAAGACCAAGTCGTCAACGTAGACGAGTATAAAGAAAGGAGTGGAGCCGACACGAACAAGCAGTGATGGGTCAGCAGAGGAAGGGCGAAACCCTAGGTCACGAAGCACGGAGCGAAGAGTGTCGTGCCACTCACGGGGCGACTGGCGGAGACCGTAGACTGGTCGCCTCAGGCTCCACTGGTTCCCACGAGGGAAAGTACCAGTGAAACCAGGAGGACGGCACAGCCAGATCTCCTCGTGCAGTCGTCCCTGGGGAAAGGCAGTGGAGAAATTGAGGGACTGGAGCTCGTAGTCACGCTGTGCTGCTACGTGTAGTAACACCGGAAGTGTAGTCATCTTCGGGGTCGGAGCGAAGGCCTGAAAGAAGTCAACTCCCTCGCGCTAACTGAAGCCTCTCACCACATAGCGCGCCTTGAACATCGGGGGTGATCCAGACAGCCGCTTCACCTTGAAGAGCCACATGCCATCGACTACGTTCGCCCGGGGAGGGGGAACTGCGTCGACGTACGTGCTTGAGGATCTCCAAGTCGCCAACTCTGAGTCCATGGCCGCCGTCCACTGAGAGGCCCACGGCCCTGACACTGCCTCACGGTACGTGCGAGGAGTCAGGGCGGTGGGGTCTCCCTCAGGGGAAAGCAGCATGGCACAGAGAGTGGGAGAAACGGCTGCCAGGTACTCCAGCTCAGAGGGCCTGTCCTCTAGGACGTCACAGCCAAGAGCAAACTCACCCCCGATGGACAGAGGACGGGTAGGCGGAGCGGGCACCACACGAGTGCTGTAGTCAAGGCGGCTGGCGGCGACAAAGTTAGCGACAGCGGCAGTGAGAGCCGAGACAGACGACGGAGAGCAACGAGGGTCGGTGACAACAGTGGTTAGAACGCGGGAGACAACAGGGCGAACATCACGGTAGTAGTTGGAGATAGGAGTAGGGGAGACAGGAAGAGAAGACGGAGGAGGAGACGGGAGAACGGACACCGAAGGAGGAGAACTGACACCGAAGGAGGAGAACGACGAAGAGAAGTAAAAAGGAGGGCAGTTTGGACGTCAGTAACGGGGGACGCGGGACGAGCACTCGGAGGACACGGACAGGAATGGTAGTGATGGACAACGGAAGGAAAAGACTGCGGCGGAGGGGAAGACCAGACCGCCGGACGGTCGCCAGGAGGAGGAAACATAGGACCAAACGCAGAGGGAGACTGAGAGCGGACAAGAGGAGAAGAGGGGAGACCAAGGGCCCGGAGGCCACTCACGGGCGGGAACAACTGCCACTCCAGAGGAAGCTACCGCGGCTGTGGCTGCTGCTGCTCCTGCTGCTGCTGCTGCCGGTGCTGCTGCTGCTGCTGCTCCTGCCACAACTCCTGCCGCTCCCGCTCCTACCGCTCCTGCTCCTCGCGCGCACGCCGGCAGGCCACCTGGTAGTGCGTGTCGTGGCGGTGGGGAGGCGGAGTGCTCTCCGCAGACGTAGTGCCCCCAGCTCCCGTCTCCTTAGAACTAGCACCTCCAGTACCAGTGTCCTCAGAGGGGGTGCCACCAGGGTCAGAGTCCCCAACCCCAGCACCCCCTACCCGAGCACCCCCAGTGCCAGGACCTCCAGCTCCAGCACCCCCACAACTAGCACATCCAGTGCCAGCACCTCCAGCTCCAGCACCCCCAGAACTAGCACCTCCATTGCCAGTACCTCCAGCTCCAGCACCCCCAGAACTAGCACCTCCAGTGCCAGGACCTCCAGCTCCAGCACCCCTCAACCGAGCACCTACAGACCGAGCACCGCCAGTGGCCGCACCTCCGGCTCCAACACCAACCGAGTCCATAGTAACCTGTCGCGGAAGTACCGAGGGCCACTGAGGGGACTGTGAGGAGGACTGCTGGGAGGGAGATGCTACCTGACGCGCGATAGAGGGTAGAGGGGTAGCGTGAGACACACCTGACGGGGCAGGACCAAGAGGGGGTGGGGGTACCGGAGGAGCGGGAGCAGGGGGAAGGGGCGAAC